AGGGCGAGGCGCTGACCCTCTGCTGCCTGCCTGCTGGCAGCCCGACCCCCAGGATCCTCTGGATGAAAGGTGGGTGGCTGCCTGCGCTGCCTCAACAGGTGGGCACTGGGAGGACACTGTAACACCCTTCTCCTCTGCTCCCCCCTGCAGACAAGAAGTCCCTGCAGCTGGACAGCGGGCTGAATGTCATCTCCTGCAAGGATGGACGGCAGATGCTCACCATCGCCAAGGTGTCCAGAAAGGACGCGGGGCTGTATGAGTGTGCAGCCGCCAACACCCTGGGCACTGCCATCAGCTCCTGCACACTGGCTGTGGCACGTAAGGAGGCGAGGGGGGACCTGAGGGGATAGAGGTGCAGGCCGAGCATGTACCCTAGGGCTGGAGACCAGTCTGAGCTCTGTGCTCCACATCTGTAAGAGACTGGAACTTCTGAGTGGGACAGGCTGGATTTGCATGGGCACACCTCTGAGCTCACATGTTGTGCTGCCCTTGCGTTACAGCAGCTTTGCCCAGCCCCTGGCCGGGCACCCAACCCACCTTGTCTGTCCTGTCACAGGGCTCCCTGGGCGGCCGGGCACTCCAGAGATCCCCCAGAAGTACAAGAACACGGTGCTGGTGCTATGGAAACCTGCGGAGAGCAAAGCCCCCTGCACCTACACACTGGAGCGCAGGCTGGACGGTATGTGGGACTGCCTCCCATCGCCTGGTAGCCACAGCCAGAAAGACAGGCTCACACAGGGGCACCAAACCAGGGCAAAAGTGCCCAAAGCCCTTGCTGTCCCCTTGGGGCTTGGCAGGGTGACAGGTCAGGAGCTGGGGACAGGGGGCTGTCCCTGCTCTGCCTTCATCTCATCTTGCTCCCATGCTGGCAGGGGAGCACGAGTGGAAGATTGTCAGCACTGGCATCACCGACTGCTCCTTCAATGTGACAGAGCTGCCCCCCGGGAGCACCGCCAAGTTTCGTGTGGCCTGTGTCAACAAGGCCGGGCAGGGGCCCTACAGCACCCCCTCGGGGAAGGTGCACCTCGAGGCATCAGGTGAACGAGACCTGTACCACAGGGTGTGGGGCAGCCGTGGGGCTGGCTGTGGTGCCAGGGCCTCTGGGATGCTCCTGGGGGCCTTGAGTCCCCGGGGGACATCCCCCCTCTGGGCTTTGGGGAGCAGGGCACCACTTGCCACCCTGTTCCTGGCTTAGTCCACCTGGCTTACACCTCCCCTTGCTCCCTGCAGATGCCCGAGCTGCCCCTGCCAAGGACATCGCTGTCCTGGTCCCTGAAAAGGTGGCTTCCAGCCGGTCGACCCAGACACCCATGGTGC